TTTAATATTTTCCATGCTTTTATTATAAAATTTTAAAATATACCCGCATATACGCGGGCCTTAATCTAGTGATTTATATACTAAGACAAAACACAACTAAGAGTTGTGTCTCTTCCTCTTGTGTGTGAAACAATCTAACCAAGAGTTGCAACTTTACTAGACATCGTTTGATACACACATATGCTAACTTAGGACTAAACTCAATTAATTCCAACACTCCCTCTTAATTGAGTTTCGGTCTTAAACCAAGACACCTCCTTAGTTCTTCAGACTTTGCGAGATTTTCCTCCTGTCTTTTGCGTGAACCTTCTTCTTCACAAAATCACGTCTTCTTCATCATGCTTCACCCAACTCTTGCGTGAGCATCAAGACATTGGAACTCTAGGTTTCTTTTACCCACGAGCCTTCTTCATGTCTCCTTCAAGTCTCTCAGACTCTTCTCACGTTTCTTTGACATCTCACGACGTCTCATGACGTCTCAACCGTTTCTGTTACGGCAGATGCTCTGGATTGGAATCTCTATTCCTTTTCTCCTTTGCCGCCTCTGCAATTTCCTTCGGTGATTTCAAAACTTCCGTTTATCACCCTCAACGTCTCCTTAGCGTCTTCCGCGTGAATCCTCTCCACGTCTTCTACGGTTATCTCTAACCGTTTTCTGCTCCCTCTTCTCATAGATTGAGGTAAGCATCCTCTTGTTGCTTTGGTGTCTTCCTTTGATCACCATCAACGTCTCCTTGACGTCATAAATGTGAGTCTTCTTCACATCCCCTGTTGCTCCATTTTTTCTCCGAGGTAAGCATCCTCTTCTGTTGCTTGGTGACTCCCTTTGATCACTATCACGTCTCCTCGACGTTCCGTGCGTGAAATCCTCTCTCCACGTCTTCTTCCGGCCATCTCCGTAACCGACTCCATGTGTGGATCTCATTATCCACCATGTCTTTTTGCGGTCGTCTCCATAACCGCTGCATGTGTGGATCTCATTATCCACCATGTCTTTTTCCGGTCGTCTCCATAACCGCCTGCATGTGTGGATCTCACTATCCACCATGCGTGTGTGGATCTCATTATCCACGTCTTTTCGGTTATGTGTAACCGCTTCAATGCGCCTTGCTCTGTTTCTCTCAACAGATGACTTCTCCATCAAGTTTCAGAATTCTTCCCAACTCCAGCTTTTACATCCGTTTTTCTCCACAGCCTTTTGAGAAGATCTCATATCTCCTTCATCGCTAATGGAACCTTCTTCTCAAGGATACGGCATGCAAATGGCTTGTGAAGATTAATGGTGCTCTCGTCACCACCTCTGTTTTCTTTTTTTTTTTCTCTTCTTCTTCTTCTCTCCGGTTTTCAGTCTCCATCTCTTCTCTTTTTCTCGCAGCGGATTTCTCTTCATTATTTGTGTGCTTTAACAGGTTCCACGACCATGAAAGCTCTGATACCATGTTGAAATCTTGATTTAGAAACAGAGGAGAGAAAGAATGAGACAAAAACAAAGCAAGAGATAACTCATCTTTTGTCTTATGAAAAAGAACGAAGAACAAAATATCATTTTATTGATCTGAAACTTGATTGTGTGTTACATCCGTGTTACAATGACTTATATACTAAGACAAAACACAACTAAGAGTTGTGTCTCTTCCTCTTGTGTGTGAAACAATCTAACCAAGAGTTGCAACTTTACTAGACATCGTTTGATACACACATATGCTAACTTAGGACTAAACTCAATTAATTCCAACAAAACCAAAGCCAAAGCCAGGAACAAAGAAAACTAAACGTGGTTCACGTTCTCGTTCACGTAATAAGCATAAGCAGTTGCCTGAGGGATTGATTCTGAAATCGGCTGGTTCAGTAGGCCAGGTGAACCTAAATACGCCATTGCAGCAGTGGGTAAAGAAGAAGCCAATCCCAGATACTTTGGGAACCAAGTCTAGTGGAACTGCAACAGGGAACTCGAGTGGTGTCTCAGCTGCAGAACCAGACTCTTCTGACGTTGAATCTTCAGGTTCAGATTCAGAGGAGGTAGAAGAAGATAATGATCCGGAATTAGATTATGAGTTCGCAACGGTGTTGTCTCAGAGGCAGCGCAAGAGTGAGTGAGGCAGTGGCCTCAAACTCCACTAAATATTTTATCTATGTATATAGACATTTTTTGTTGGAACGTCCGTGGATTTAACAAACTTTCGCACCGGAGCGGTTTCAAGAAGTGGCTTAGTAGTAGCAAGCCAATTTTCGGAGGTCTCATCGAGACGCATGTACAACAACCTAAGAACGTGAAGTTTATTAACAATCTTTTCCCAGGATGGCTTTTTGATGACAACTATGAATTTTCGACGTTAGGCAAGATTTGGATCGTTTGGCACCCGAGTGTGAAAGTTCAGATTATCACCAAGTCTCTGCAAATGATTTCGTGTGAAGTGACACTTCCAGGTTCAGATTCCTCGATGATCTTTTCTTTCATTTATGCAGCAAATCTGGAGGTTCTGAGAAATGAGCTATGGGAAGAGTTGATATCTCTCTCGACAGACACAAGAGTTGTTGGTAAGGCTTGGGCCGTCTTAGGTGATTTCAACCAAGTGCTCCACCCAAACGAGCACTCCTCTTTGGATGGGTTTACTGTGGACAGAGCAACAAGAGACTTCAGACAGGCTCTCTTGAACTCAGAATTGGCGGATCTAAATTTCAGAGGATCGACTTACACTTGGTGGAATAAAAGAAGTGTCAATCCAGTGGCTAAGAAACTGGATAGAGTCCTAGTCAATGACCTCTGGCTCGAGATTTTTCCAACGGCGATGGCTTTCTTTGGAGCTCCAGATTTCTCCGACCATTCATCCACTAGCATTGCTCTCTCTCCTTCAACTCAACGGCAGAAGAAGGCTTTCAAGTTCTACAACTACCTCCTTGAAAATCCTGATTTTATTGCGGTGATATGCAGCGAATGGTTCTCCCTGAACTTTGTTGGCTCCGACATGTTTAGGGTTTCAAAAAAGCTCAAGGCTCTAAAAAAAACCATAAGAGATTTAGTAGAGAGAACTACTCCGGGTTGGAAAAAAGAGTCCATGAAGCTCATCAGTTACTGCTGGATAGACAGGTAGCAATGCTGAACTCCCCCTCTCTCTCAAATGGTCAATTGGAGCTTTTAGCTCAGAAAAATTGGGAAGTCTTGGCGGAGGCTGAAGAACGTTTCTTTAGACAGAGATCCAGAGTCACTTGGCTCAAAGATGGTGACATGAATACAGCTTATTTTCACCGTATTATGAGATCGAGGAATTCAATGAATGCTATTCACTTTCTGGAGGATGAGGTGGGGAATCGTTTTGAGTTACCACAAGACATTCATGCGCATTGTGTACACTACTTTGAGGGTCTACTGAGTGGTGATCAGAGCCAGTCTTCGTTTGTTCAGGATGATATTACCTCTCTTCTAGATTTCAGCTGCTCAACGTCTCAACGTTCACAGCTAGACTCTTGCTTCTCAACCGAAGAAATCAAGGAGGCTTTCTTATCACTACCGAAAAATAAGACATGTGGTCCAGACGGCTTTACTCCTGAATTCTTCAACTCTTGCTGGACAGTAGTAGGTGGCGAGGTGACGGCGGCTATAAAGGAATTTTTCTCCTCAGGAAAGCTTCTAAAGCAATGGAACGCTACAAATCTAGTGCTTATACCCAAAATCACAAACGCTTCCAGGACAACTGATTTCAGGCCAATCTCATGTCTCAACACGATGTATAAGGTTATCTCAAAGCTTCTAGCCAAGAAATTAAAGTCTGTTCTGCCATCAGTCATCTCTCACTCTCAATCAGCGTTTCTGTCTGGTCGTATGCTCTCGGAAAATGTGTTGTTGGCCACTGAAATTGTGCAGGGTTATAACAGCGCAAACGTCTCTCCTAGAGGCATGTTGAAAGTGGATCTGCGTAAAGCTTTTGACTCGGTGAGATGGGATTTCGTGCTCGCGGTTTTAAAAGGCCTAAATATGCCAGACAAGTTCATAGGGTGGATCTCAGAATGTCTCACAACACCATGCTTCTCTGTGTCTGTGAATGGAGTTGAGGGTGGGTTCTTCAAGAGTTCCAGGGGTCTCAAGCAGGGCGACCCAATTTCGACATACCTCTTTGTTTTGGTCATGGAGGTTTTCTCGAAACTTCTTCATTCCAGGTTTGCTTCGGGCTATATCTCATATCATCCTAGAACTCATGAGTTAAATATTTCTCATTTGATGTTTGCCGATGACGTTATGATCTTCTTTGACGGAATGAGCTCCTCTTTACATGGAATTTATGAGACTCTGGATGATTTTGCGGGTTGGTCTGGCTTGCATATGAATAGGGAGAAGACAGAGTTGTTCACAGCAGGGACGAGCCACATTGAATCCACAGCCATTGCTAACTATGGATTCCCAGTTGGCTCTTTTCCTATAAGATACTTGGGTCTGCCTCTTACTTGCAGGAAACTGAGAATTTCCGAGTATGCTCCTATAGTCGAAAAGATCTCAAAGCAGTTTACTACCTGGTCAGTAAGGACTTTATCTTTTGCTGGTAGGCTTCAATTGATCTCGTCGGTAATAATGGGCTCTGTGAATTTCTGGTGTTCAACCTTCATCTTACCTAAAGGTTGTATCAAGCAAATTGAATCTCTCTGCTCGAGATTCCTTTGGTCAGGAAGCATTCAACTATCTAGAAAGGCAAAGGTGGCATGGCACACAGTTTGTTTACCAAAGTCAGAGGGAGGCTTGGGTTTGAGGCGCTTGTCTGAATGGAATCAGACCCTAAATCTGCGTCTCATTAGGCTTTTATTTTCAACAAGCGGCTCTCTGTGGGTAGCTTGGCACAGGTATCACAATACATCTTTAGCCAACTTCTGGACTCAAAATGAGAATGCTGGCCAGTCATGGACTTGGCGTGCACTGCTAAAACTCAGACCACTTGCAGAGAAGTTTTTACGCTGCACCATTGGAAATGGTAAAACAGCAAGCTTCTGGGGTGACATTTGGACACCGTTTGGTCCTCTGCTCAATTATTTGGGGATAAATGGTCCAAGAGACTTAAGAATTAATATTTTGGCAAAGGTGAGTGATGTGTGCGACGGCGTCTCGTGGTCTGTCGCCAACCCGAGATCGGATCGATCTATGGCCCTTTGTGCTTATCTCACTACAATTTATCTCCCTCTAAGTCAGGCTGTGGAAGACCATTATGACTGGGTTATTGACGGAAAAAGTTTTGAGGGTTTCCCGACTGCAACAACATGGGACACTCTAAGGCCTAGAGCAACAGAGAAAAGTTGGGCGTCGCAAGTTTGGTTTAAAGGGGCTACTCCCAGAAACGCCTTCACAATGTGGATTGCTACTTTGAATAGGCTTCCGGTTAGAACAAGGCTAGTGTCATGGGGGATGCAGATCTCTCCAATGTGTGTTCTATGCTCTTCTCATCCAGAATCGAGGGATCACTTGCTGCTAACTTGTGATTTCAGCTCAATGATTTGGGAAGAAGTGTTTCGTAGACTAAGCCCAAATCGCTCCCTCTTTCTTCATTGGACGGAGCTCTTATCTTGGACAGGGGATAGCTCTGTTCCCTCTCCACCAATCCTTCGGAAACTTGTGGCCCACGCTGCCATCAACCTTATTTGGAAGCAACGAAATAATCTTCTCCATAATGCCATCTCGATCTCACCTTCTGCCATCTTCAAGGAATTGGATAGGCACATCATTAATACAATAAATGCCAGAAGACGTCAAAGGAATTTCGAGAGTTTAATGAGCCATTGGCTCAGATAAGTTGTCATCATCAAGCTATCTTTATGCTTTCTTGTTTTTTCACCTTTTTTTGCCAAGAAACCATTGCAAGGGTTTGCTCTATGTAAAACCATCATCTTCATTTATATGATATTTACAGTTTAGCAAAAAAAAAAATATATCTCCAAATCCTTGAATTTCAACACTTTGTAGAGTCTTCCTTTCGGGATTGAAGTAGAAAACATAAAACTGGCGTTTAGATGTGTTTGCCATCGACAAAACAATGTCACCCATAGCTGTCGCTCCAGCTACGTCAAGATAGCGGAAACCACTGCGGCCGCCATCAAGGAATTTATCATCCCGTAAAAAATAGACATTATCCGACCATTCCCCCTTTTCGACATCTTCTAGAACCAACAAACGCAGCTCAATCGTACAACTTCCACCATCGTAAATATAATCCAAACCAACCCGGCCTAATTTACCCTTATAGTTTATCAACTTATAAAAGATTTTTGTGTTAATAAAGTTGAATTTCTCAGACCTAACATCAAAGCAAACTATCCCATAAGACGTTTCATCAGTTCTTTGAGCTACGTAATACAAAACCTCATTGATGCATATCCCTTCGTATAAAGGCTCATGGGTTAAGGAGTATTGGATATTTCTCCACGTCATTTTCCCTGTTCCTAATGTCAGAATTCTAGCACTACCGTTATCAATACACAATACCTTGAATTGCTTGCCAATGGGATCAAACCCTAAATAACTTTTCGAATATACGTTTGTTGTTTTCAGTTTAGGTAAGCTCGCACACTGCCCCGTGCTAGGGTTACTTATCACCTGCACGCTATTGTTTGAGATCAAATTACCATGGATAAAAATCAAACCAGAGGTATGACCACAAAATTCTCGATGCATGCCTTTGGGGAACTTGATATGAGAATCGGGGGATACTACTACAAGAGACGACTTTTCATACGGATTTTGAGGCTGAGGAGACGAGAAGAAGTGCAGCTCGCTGTTTTGAACTTCTTTGATGGCAAATAAGAGACGCGGACGAGTCGAGGACCTGGTGAGGAACAACTCTGTGAAATCTTGACCGCCAAGTATGGATGCCCATTGCTTCGACACGAAAAGACACTTTGCGACTGACTTTGCAGGCAGTCTTGAGAATATCTCGAGAAAGAGATCAGTAGGTAGGGAATTCATCATGGAGATATGTATAGAAAAAGGTTTGAGTTAATTTTGTTCGATTTGGGTGTGAAGGCATTAACCGATCATATGATCGTTTTATCTTGGAGACTCACTAATACAGTATATAGAAAAGACTTGGGCGTAAGTGAAACCACCCAAAAAAAACAAAACAAACATAAGTTAAGTTTTACAGCATCTCCATTAATGAAGATTTTAAAAGCTGTATCTTATCAAGATTAATATTTTTAATATAACTTAGGCTGAGAATCTATGTTGAATTCTTTTGTTTTTCAGTGGTGAGAAACTTATAAAGTGTTTTAACAAAAATAAAAACACATATACAAAGTATCAACTATATTTCAAAGGGAAAGTCAGATTATAAATTTAAAATCCACAAATCTTAAACATATATTTTCTCAATATTTGATATAACAATATTTCTTTATATTATATTAATCCAATATTTTTAAAATCCTAATTTAATATCAATTAAATATTATATATATACATGTATAATTCAAATCCATGTATAATGAAACTTGATAGATAAATAACTTTATTTTATGATATATATCTATAAACTAATTGTACTCTCTTCTTAGGCTAACATCTCATAACTCTCTATAAATTGACACATAATCATTTTCTTTGTTAATTAATTTTAAATGATTTGTTTGATTCATACATTAATTTTCATACTAAATATCTTTCATTAATATAATTGTTTAATTTAGGTAGAATTTGAAAAAGTATATGTCTTTAGAAAAGACAATTTATGTATAATTCTAAAAATAATATAATTTAATTAGTTTTATAATTTAATAATAACCTAAGTTAGAGAGAAAACATCAAGAATATCCAGAAATTGTTTTTTGGAAGAATAAGATTAGCAGTTGATCAAAAAAAAAAGAATAAGATTAGCAAATAAAAAATAAAAACCATCGAATATTTTTCAAGGTTTAGTGCGAAACAGTACAAAATTAATATGAACAATAATTTATTGTTTATTTATTTTTGTTTGTACGTCAAAAATTTAATTATTTACACTACACATTGTACCAAAGCAATGACCAATAGGTCCAATAGTACACAAAGAAAAGCAAGTTTGAAGGCTGACTCATTTGGTGACGTAGGTGATACAGTTGCCAAAAGAAGCAAACGACTCTCTCTGCTTTTGCGTGTACAAATACACAAATTACTTTTTTACTTTCTTCTTCTATTTTCATAATTCTATTACCATTTTTTTTATTTTTTTTGAAAAATAGTTCTCTTTACACTTGAGAGATATAGAAAGAGTGAGTGAAAGAGAGAGAGACAAATAAACTGAAGAGAAAAAAAAAACTTGTGGGTGAATTTGAGCAGAAGTTTTCCACCGAGAAAGATGGTTAGGAACCGTGATTTTCTTCAGTTCAAAGAAGAACGGGAAAGCAAGTGTTTCTTCAAGGTTCTCCAGAGCATAGACCTATCTTCAGAAAACATAGTAACTCTCTTATAATCTCTTCTTGTTCTTAAATTACGCGACTTGTTTTGTTAGGAAAGGTTGAATCTTTTGGTTCTCTGCATACAATGCGCTTTCAAAGTTGAATCTTTTAGTTCTCTGTCTGAAAAAACTGAATCTTTTGGTTCTCTTTAGCAATGGGGTTTTAAAAGTTGAATCTTTTAGTTCCTGTGTCTACAAAACTGAATCTTTTGGTTCTCTGTAACAATGTGGTTTCAAAAGTTGAATCTTTTTAGTTCTCTGTGTCTGAAAAAAACTGAATCTTTTGGTTCTCTGTAACAATGAGGTTTTAAAAGTTGAATCTTTTAGTTCCTGTGTCTGAAAAAAATGAATCTTTTGTCTCTCTGTGTATACAGATCTCAAAAAAACTCACTCTGTTTGGCTCTTTAACAAACTTTCTTCATCTTTTTGCCAAAACAGAGAGCAATTCCTTATGACTTTGTGAGAAGCTTCTCCGACGATGAGCTCTCCGGTAGCAATATGGAGATAATAACAAAATGGGGACGCACTTGGGAGATGGGAATCTCTAAGAACCCAAGATTCTACTTCATGGAGAAGGCTGGATGGGAAAAGTTTGTCAAGGACAATTTCTTAGGAGACAATGAGTTCTTAACCTTCACTCACAGAGGAAACATGCAATTCACTGTGAACATCTTCGAAAAGGATGAGAGAGAGATGATCCAACCACGACAAATCATGGACTCGTCTTCTCCTTCTAGTAAGAGATGATCTTTTTTTTCAGTTTATGAAAACAGTGATGAACATTTGTTATGGTTCGTTAATGAGATTGTTTCTTTATGCTTCTAAATGAGACAGGTCGGATTAAGACAGAACAAGGGGATGAAAACGCAGCTGCTGAGTCGAGTCATCCTCGTCGTGGTTTCCCAACAACAGCAGAATCTAATGGAGGAGGAAACAGCAAAAGGAAGCTCAGGAGAGTTGAGGAATCCGAAAACACAAAGAGGACCAAGAAAGTGTTTAGCCGTGGGAGAGATTCTGCAGGAGCATCTTCATCTTGTGTTGGAGAATTCACCATCCTCGTCCAGAGATCATACCTCACCTATCTAGTAAGATAAAAAGACAAAATTTAATACTCTAAACACAGTTTTTTTTTTTGTAATGGGATTCGTGTTCTTGAAAACTAAAGATGATGTGGTATGTGTATCTTTTTCAGGCGATTCCGCAATCTATTGCAATGAATCATATGCCGAAGCATGACACCACGCTGAAGATACATCACCAAGATATGAACATGTCATGGCATGTGGGTTACTTGGCGAGGTCGACATCTGGAAGCTTGTCTAGTGGATGGTCTCGTTTGTGTAAGGAGTATCCTATTGCTGTAGGGGAATGTTGCAGTTTTACAATGATCAAACCTGGGGAGCTTCTTCTGGTTGTCTCAAAACCAAGTCCCTGAGAAGAAGCAAGTTAGGACTTTGTGGTTAATGGTGTTGTCTTTTTTAAGTTTTATGTTATGACTTTGCTCGGTTTAAGTTGGTATCCAACTAGAATGTGAAACTTGGTTCTTTAGTCTATTGCATTGCTCTATGTAGATGTTTATGTGTTTGAACCAATTTTTAACAATGTTGTATGTTTGATGTTTCTCTCTACCCTTAGTTATGGTTAGGAGCAAATAAAAAACTGTTGATTTTTCTTTCCAAATATGGTTGTTCATCATCAGAGAATACTATAAAATCAAGTTTATGAAAATACTACATGAACCTAAACAAACAAAATGAGTGCAGTACATTGCAAGAAACCTTTTTTGGTGTTGAAGTTACTGTCCTCTTTCTTGTTACAGAGCAGAGCCATCAAGAACTTTCTTGTCAGCCAAGAAACCGCTTACCAAATATTTACATAACGAAAAAAAGAGTTTAAAATGACCAGAAAGAGAAAAATGGTTAAGCCAACAGAGTGACAAAGCTCACACACAGAAACAACATGTGAATGAGAGAAGTCGCACTCACAGCCAATATAGAGAGATTTTTATGTTATAAAACATTATGAAGACAACTTCAGCCAACATGAATAAAAAAAAAAACTAATTTCTTTGATAACAGAGAAAATACAAGTTCCATTATAAATAGAGCTTTTAGCCGATTCATCATCATCTAAAAGACACAGAGCATCAAATTTTTAATGCTACCTAAACAGACCACGATCTTGTAACTCTTGCTGCATGTCAGATGTAGATGATGTTGATGCGCTCTTGAGTTTATGCTTGTGTTCTGGTTGGCTCATAGTTGTTGCATGTGAGCTTTAGACGATGTTGCAGCATAATACTAACCTTAGGGTCGTCTACATGGTCTACAAAGGCTGTAACTTCACTGTCACCATTAATGTTAGA